CAGGCAAATTCCGTAATTGGAACGGAATTGCATTCCTAAAAACCCGTGTGTCACGTGATGGCTGATCGCTTAGAGACGCGCATAGGCATGGCCGGCCGGCTGAGGATGCGTCCGTTCAGTGCAGTGCAGAATGCTTAGAGCGGGTGACATTAAGTCCAGTCCAGTTCAGTAAATTGCTGGTGGCCGTCACCAGTACAGTTGCTCTTGGTTTTGGGACCCATGACCATATTTTTGTTCTTTCCACATTTGTACTTATTGTGAAATGGGGCCTTCTCTTCGACGAGAAGAGAGGTCTGAGTACTACTGTTCACTCCCATTCTACTGGGCAATGACTCAGCGGGCTGTCACTCGCTCACCCACTCACTCAGTCACTTTAAAGAAAACTCACTGGCTGGCTGGTAAATTGCTGCTTGTTCTCGCCAGCACAGTACTATGTCCCACGGGACTCACGACCTTATTTTATTGTCTGACGACTCTGGGAGCCTTTAGAATAACTCTCTTCAACTCCGGGAACATAAAGCCATATCACACGTGCTTTATATCTTATTGGTTCATACCTAACAGGAAACTCGGTACAGAAGTCAATCCCAGTCATGAGTGCACTGTTGTCCTTCCTCGGTAACGTAAACTTGTGTCTCAAAGGAAATTCCATTTGGAAACATTTTAACTTAATGGATCAGTTTCGCATTCTTTCACCCCAAATAAACTAAACGGAACGAAATTGGCGATACCAGGATTTTGCACTATTGGCAAATATTGGCATATGTTTGTTTTGCAACCTTAAGTACAGTTATTTCGCAGTAACCGAAATAATCTATCTCTGCTTCAACCATGTTTCCGATTTTGGACGGTTACGGAGTTGTGACCGTTTTTTTTTTCATTCTCGTACACGCCCTCGTGTGAACCGCGTCTATCGTCTGACGGGTCGCTATTTTTAGCCAGCTACAGACCGACACTTGAGAGGTACCTAAGGCGTGGTGGTTTGTATGTCCGGCCACGGCTATTGTGGCGGCTACTGGTGTTCAGAACAGTTCTCATCTCGGTGCGTCTGCTACGTTCACGAAGCCATTTACATTTTCATTTGAGGAGTATGCAGATGATTTATGTGTACGGGTTTTGTGACGGTAACTCAGTTCTTGCCTTAGCTGAATACCAGCAACGGTTTCCGAATCGTAGAATACCGAACCGGAGAGTGTTTAGTGGAGTTTACCAGGCATTGCGAGATACCGGTAGACTTCCCGGCGTTCGTATTGCAGCCGAGCGTGGTGTTAATGAAGGCGTCAATGAATAAGGCATTGTTCGTATGGTACACCGCGAGATGCTTTGCTCGGTCGCATTCTGGACGCCGCTGACCACATAAGAAACAGTCAGCTGAAGCTGCTACGTGCTACCCGCGCGGTTCACAACCGAGCGGCATCCTGTGTTGCGACCGGCGGTGGCATTTTCGAAAATCAGCTTTAAGCACCGATCAATTCAAATTAAAGGTAATTTCACGAAGTTAACTTTACATTCATACTTTAAATACATCATGTATTATGCTGGTTTATTATTTTGTTCCGTTTATTGTCAGTAATTGTTACCTTCTATTCTGAGTTTAAAACGGTCATAACTCCGTAACCGTCCAAAATCGGACACATGTTTATATGAACTTCTTTGATCACAAAGACCTAGGAAATCACCTCCTGCAGTCGTGAAACACCCTGTATAGAGGAATAGATGCAGCGCGGGAAAGCTAGCAACGTTTCCACTTAAAAATTAAATATGTGTGTAACTCAAAGAGCCGATCACAGTGGCCGCGCGGCCTAAAGCATGAACTGATTTCGCTCGCTCGAACGCTGAGATCGTGGGTTCGAATCCCACTTGAGGTGTGTGTATATATATGTGTGCCTTTATTCTGTATTTATGTTTTCCTGTGTGTAGGTAGTGGCCTTGCGACGGGCTGATCACTCGTCCAAGGTATCCTACTATCTACGTAAAAAAAATTACGAAACTGAAGAAGAAGCCAGGGCCCAACAAAGGGTTGACGTGCCATTGATGAATGAATGAATGTACTCCAAAGAGCAGACCATACAATATAAACGAAATGGACCCCAAGACACTCTTTGCATTATCACTTCTGTCGTTCCGCTTTTTGTAGGCCCTACGCGTAAAAAGTGTAAGTGTATATCGCAGTTAAACTTAAATTACACGTCTATTCCGCGAGAGAGGCCCTTGTATTAAGCCTCTGATTGCTAAATGTGATTTTTAAAATAAACTCATTCCATGATACTGGTAGCTTCTGGTTCTCTTTGACAAAATGCAGTAAATCAACAAATGTGCCGAGTTTGTCAGCGATATACCGTATTTACGCATGTATAGGCCGCACATTTTTTGCCAAAAATTCAAGAGGAAAACTGGGGTGCGGCTTATATTCGAAATATTCGAAATCACACTTCATTTAAAAAAAAAATTGTATTCATAATTATTTCGGAATAATTTCTACTCCTGAAATAATATTCAAAGAAAATTATTTTTTCTATAATTTCTGTCTGAAAATTGTGCTGCGGCCTATACACGCACGCGGCCTATACATGCGTAAATACGGTATCTCGTTCATAGCATTGAAATGATTAACATCAGAAACTGTGTGAACGAGTTTATTGACTCCATGTCAAAGGATATTCTGTGAAGAGGTGGTCAAGCAATTCCTTATTTTTGGAATGTGAAAGCTGATCACCATATTCAGAAGTGTCCGGAATTGTACTGTCTTCTACCAACGGAATGTGTTCCACCGCTTCACATCCTGTTCTCCAGAATCCATTTTGATGTTATTTTTCCATCTTCTCCTGGGTCTCCCAAGTGTTTGCTGAACCCTTTGAGTCACGGAAAAGTCTGACTCAGCTGTACACCAAAACGATGACAAACAAACTATTGAGTTAGAAAAAATATTAAATAGAAAAGAGCTGTCTTCAAACTACTTAACTTTACGGTGTAATAATAATAATAATAATAATAATAATAATGCATTCAGAATCTGGCTTATTCTAATTTCAGACTGTTTTCTATAGTACATTAATTCCCAACCCCCGTCAACCTTGTGCTTCCATGAGGATTTTTCCGGAATTATATGCGAAAATTCTTCCAACTCTTCAGTTCAGTATAAGCAACATAATTGTTATTGCTTTCTAAACATTCAATTTTATACCCTCTAGCTTGAACAGATTCAAAATTAATTATGAAAGAATGAACCCTCTTTTATCATTATTATTATGGTTAATTTTGAAGATATAAGGGCATGTAACACGAATAGGAGATAATAGGAACGCATATAGGATTTTGGTGGAAAAAAAAATCCTGGAAGAAAGAAACCACTAAGAAGACCAGCATGTAGATGAGAGGATAATACAGCATTTAGATGGATCTTAGAGAAACAGAGTAAGTGGTATGGACTGAATTCACCTTGCTCAGACAGGGGCAAGTGGCGGGCTCTCGTGGACACGGTAATGGACCTTCAGTTTCCTTAAAACGGTGGGAATTTCTTGAGAGACTGAAAAGCTGTTGGCTTCTCAATAAGGATACAGCTGCATGGAGTTAATTAGTCAGTAGGATAGTTAGTTAGGGCAGCAGTTACCCCCTCAAAATCTGCTAAACAGAGTTGTCTAGAAGAGCAACAAACTTCCTCCAGTAAGCAAGCTCCTCAGTACCGTGGCAGTATTGCCAGCACCAGCGGCCTCATATGAGAGGGGTTTTATATTACGAATATTGTGAAGAGCAAATGTAAGCCGTTATAATAGGCAATAATAATTATCAACATGATTGGCCCAAGTATGGAATATTCTGACGCAACGAGATATATAGGACAGTGTTATTTTTCACACAAAGGGATTCAGTCATGTTAAGTTCGTCTGCAATAAAAATCCGATGTGGCTACCAAAAGCAGACCTGTTGCAAAAGTTGTAATATATTGTGACGTGCTGCCAAAAACCGGACTATGGAGCGTATTTCAGCGTTCGTTGCTGTCCAACGGATAACATTTCCTATACAGCGGAATGGAATGCAGCATTGGAATTCTAACAGTGAGTTTCCACGGTTACAACGAATTGTTCGAAGCATTGTATGACAACGGGAAAACCGAACTGTTGGAAAGGTGTTCTATAAACGGTCCGCAAAAGGCCTATTTAAATGGGTTGAATGGACCAGACATACAGTTGAGTTCTGCAAGTTGCCGAGAACAGTTCAGTTTACATTTGACCGTAGGAGAATAGTCAGTAGTCAATTGGCTTCGACTGCAGCAGAGTCAGTAATTGTGATATTGAAATTGTGAATAACTGCACTTGTAAGTGTAGAAGAGTTTGGCTAATAAACATATTCGCCAAATCCGAGACCTGCGTTCATTTATTTGGCGTGTGACATAGGCAACACGTGACAATATTTTGTTTTGCCTGGCTTCGAAAAAATTTAGCTGGTTCCCAACCCTGGCCTAAAAGTTTTCCCACTAGACATATGAAAAAGAATCAGTAGTCCCATCCAAAATTCCTTGCTGCACCATCCACTGCATGGATTTGTTTCATATAGTAATTAATTTATTATTATTCCTTCATAATTAATTTCATTTCGGTATCTGACACCTGCGAGTCTAGATACTTAGATGTCTGTAATGAAAATTCGGGCAGTCTTCTAAGGATGGTGTGTTCAAGGTTTCTCACTCGGGTCGGATGAAAAACTAGAGGGAAATTCTAATTTGTTTCTTTAGGATAAGAAAAAATAATAATGTTAAGGATAGTTATTTATTTCTTGTGGAATCCTTGGAAACGGCACAGCTTTTAATAAGCTGCACAGCAATCGAATTGCACTTTTATGTTTTTCCATTCCTTATGATATGTTTTTGTGTGTTGCAGGTTGGTGCCTCCTCCGTTCGGCAGTCACTGAGCCGTCCACTGCCTGGTGCCTGCTGTAGGCATCTTCCGCCCTTCGTTGTTAAATTCCGAGTTGTACTTATTATATTCTAAAGTCAAATGTTACTGCGTTGTTTCTAAGAAATAAGTTTGTTGAAATATTACTAATAAATTTTATATGTATAAAATTGGCTTTAGTGGAAAATAATATATATTCTGGGTGTATAGTATACAGCACGTTAGAGAAAACATTCTCTAGTTTATTTTTCGGGCGCGGAAAGTGACAGTCTTTATCTTGCAAACTGGAACTTCTACGAGTCCCAGAATACAATCTTGACCGTACTACCGTTCTCACTGAACACTGATGTTAACATTTATCCTCCTTTACCTTCAGAAACAGCTGCGTCGTATGTTCTTTTGAACGAAGATCAAGTTACCTTTGCACGCGATTGATTCTTTTGCGAGGGACGATAGTTACTTCCAACAAGGATTGGAATGTCCACATGGGCACCCAGAAACACCGTTGTATTTCTTAATGTAGTGACTGGATAACTGCAAAATCTAGAATGGCCACAGCAGTTGTGTTGTGTTGTGCATACTCTCTGAACTTTTTCAAATTCAAAATTTCGATTCTCGTAAGAGCGTTGCATTGAACATAATGGGTGAAGATCAACAGCTTTTCCGCGGCAGTCCAGCTCGCCGCCTATCTCAGCTATTCGACCCGCTGTCCCGCATGTCAGAGTTCACGTGCTCTACACCTCCGTCCTCCGCCCCCGCTAGCCCGCGATTACTTCCTCGACGGTCTCGCCTTCATCTTCACACTTGTAGTGCCTCTCCGCCGCCACCGCCTCCCCGTCCTCATGCCGCCTCCACCTCTGCTGCAGCTCCTCTCAGTTCTTCCACTTCATACCTGTTTGATCTGATGGATGTCGAGCCATCGGCGGGGTTGCCACCTCATTATCATCACTGGGGCGAAGACCTTGCTACGACCGGTGGAGGTATCAACTGGCAGGAGAGATGTTTGGAACTGCAGCTGGAGTTACATCGGTTCAAACACCAGGCGGGACGTGTCAGAGACTTGTTGAAAGAGAAGGTAGGATCTCGCACATGCACTTTATAATACGGGTTGGCCCAAATTTCAGTTACCTTAAAACATTCCCTCATATTAACGAGGACGTTCAGATTGGAACCTGTCATTGAATTTGTCGTATTGTATCACAGCATTGTTAGTTGTGCGTAGTGCACGGAGGGTCTCATTTCGAACAGTTTTTATAAATTCAGTACTTAATAAAGACATCTTAAAAGCATTTTAGTTTATATTTCACTAACCAGTTAACTGACCTTTGGGACATTCTGAGTAGAATAGATGCAGTGCTTCCTCTCGATGTTCTTCTTACTTTTATGGGTGTACTGTGCAGACATTCAGAACCCACAGTTATCACTAAAAGAAGACACCTTGAATACCGGACCAGAGGCGAGAGGACATTTCAGTGACCTCTAATGAAATATTTGCCTGACGTGGATTGCATTGCTCAAGTGGTTTAGTTTGAGAACTGACGAAACTTCGAAATTTTATATCAGTGTGAAGGCAACCCTGAAATATTCGACTTAAATCTATCTTCAAAATGACTAGTAATATTTAACGAGAACGTCAAGTGTCCTTATATTAACGGGTTAACCCCCCTCCCCTCATGCCTACCTAATCATCCGTATAGCTGATTAGCTTAACAGCAGTTTGGAGTGATATATCGTCATAAACATAAAGGGGCTGCCCCGTCTTGCATAAACATAGGTCGATTTCTGGAGACTCAAGTTTTCTCGAAACGTGTGAGAAAAGTGAAAGTGATCAGTTTCGCATTAGCCAATGTTTAGATTTGCAGGAATCTTCAAATTCTCTTTAGCACCCTGCCTTTGGGGTCAGGGCATTAATGCCATGGTTCAACATTGAAAATCGTACAAGTTCGATCTTGTAAAGTTTCAGATTATGACAGTTTTGCAGTTGCAGGACTTCGCTGGCAGACAGCCCGGAGATTGCTAGTGTAGTGCTTCTAGCACCAAAATTAATGGATCAAACAGATCATTGTCATTGTGTTACAACTGCCACAGTTGTTTATTATTCATACTAAATGTTTACCTTATGTTAATAATTTGTTCGAATGGTTGGAAGAGCCGTAGTCTGCATGAAATAAATTAATAACTCTTCGAAGCAGCTGGGCAAAATAACCTTCTCGGAGAGCTAATGGAGAGATAATTCGCAGTTGTCCAGCAGAGTCTCATGGCGCAAGCGCATATAACTTACTACACAAAGTCACATTAAGTGTGCTTGTATCCTTGAGATCCTTGTATCGCCAGAGAAGGACCTCAGTATGCATAGATGCTAAACGATGCCCCTATGATATAGCGCTCTAGAGTATATTACTCTGCTAATTGAGGTTCAGCTGGAGTCTAGAATGGCGATATTGCAGATATTTGAGATATTTTCCTCTGTTTGGCTTGATTTCAAGGCCAGGCGGTTATGAACTTTAAAAGGAATTCATTTGCCTATTTATCGAGATTGATGGCCCTTTGGACGTTGCACATTGTTCGGTGTTGTAAGAACATAAAAGAATATGACATTTCCGAAACTCGGTCTGTTTCCATCCTCATACGAGGGGGTGTGAGACACCTACTTTGTTGTGTTCGTTAGTAACGGACCCAACAGAGTACACCTAGATGTCTCCCACCTCGTCACCTGAGGACAGAAACAGATCCAGTTTCCAAGCGTTGTGTTCTGTTGTGTTTTTTAGAATACTGGACGATGGACAAAGCCCCAAAACCCAGTAATCCCGAGTGGTATACACCATCGTCAGAACACTTCAGAATCTACTTGCCAATTTGTATTACATACAGTTAACATTTCCATGTAGGTGTAACGTCATTAGCTGTGATCTACAAGAGCTCATTTTACTGTCACTAGTGAACTGCTCGTTGAAAATTTGGCAATTCCCATCCCTAGCTGAAGTTTCTACAGATAACCCTTCCATTGTTCCTCTCTTAGCCCATATTTTAACATGTCTAGCTAGGCAACGGCGCGATAAACACTTTCTCGCTTAAGCGCTTGACAACAATGCATGATCAGCAACGACTCAGTAAACACGTTAAAACGCGCAGCAATATAAGCTGTATCTCAGTGAACGAATATTTATTGCTCGTTGCTGGGCAACAGTCGGCGCACCAATGAAGTCGCTGGCTAGGAATCACATGACTTGTTTTCTACAGATCCGCGCCGAAGGTTTATACAGACAACAAAGGTCGTCTGCAGTCCGTCGTAAGCTGGAGGAGCGAAATAAAAGCTGCAAGGCAGTTGAGAATACAAGAACGAGAATGGAGCGTGTCCTGAGTGAACTGTGAAGATTAGTTGAGTACAGATTAGGGCATAGGAGTACGGAGTGATTGAAGGCGAAATAACAAGAAGACTTCCTGGTGATTTGAAGTGTTAGTTTCTGTGTTGAGATCTGTTTCTAGGAGATGACTAGTGGAAACTGAGAATCCTAGTGTGTATGTGTGTAACACTGAAGAAGTATAAAGTGTAGCGATAGCGTAGCACTAATTTTAATTAAGAGAGAGTGTGTAACCGAAGTGCTAATAAATCCAATCATCCAAAATGGAACCCATCGTTCTCGTCACGCGTACCAACCTACACATGATATTATAGGCTTCAAAGGACACTTAAAAATGGCGATTTAACTAAATCTGTCTATGCTTGCTGTGAATTCTGAAGAGTTCTGGAAAGGCAGCTTAATAGAATATGCACTGCTACTCTCTAGAGATAACTTTTCTTTTTCAGCATAGATCGAGATTGCCGTAAATACCGAAGCATATGGGCCTTCAGTTTGCTTCTATTGTTGCCATCTTCTGGTCATATTCGTAACTGTTAGCAACTCTACATTATAAGGACAGACCGACAAAGAAACACTACCACAAAGAGAGGAAAGAAGGAAAATGTGGAAATTGTGGGTAATAAGAAACACCCTTGTGCCTAGTGAAGTATGTGCTACCCTATACGATCAATAATGCGAAATTTAGCGCCTTAGTTCGCCACAGTTCTCTGAAGTCGCAGTGATGTAATATCTGCAGGGTCTGACGCCATATTGTTGAAACTAATTTGAAGTACTGCTAGGTGTTTTCAGTCAGACGAACATAATTTTACAGCTCTTATATTATCAAACATTTATATAGTGAACTAGCATCTAGACATAACTTACAAAATATGCTACTTTTGGATCAGTCTCAGTGTTCTATAATCTGACGTTCTCATATCTTTATCAACTTTAGTTTCAGGATGGTGTGTCAAGGTATTATGGAACACCTGCATGCTTTTAATATGGAATAATGTTCCATATTTCCCCTCAAAATAATTTATATATATATATAATATCGTAAATAATAAAGAAATACTTAATAATTAAAGCAGAATGTTCCCAAACTGTGGTTCCCGTATTTCCAAATTAAGTTTTTGTGCCCACTTAAAGAAAACATGATAAATAGTATAATTTATCTGCAGTATAATTAATTAGGTAGTTCCGTGCTACCACTTCTTAGGTCGCTGGCTGAAATTCCGCTGGCTCCAGTGGTAGTCAGGAACAAATTTGAGGCAAGGTTTTCTTGAGTAATTCACGTTTTCCCCTGCCAATAGTGCTTCATAATTTATTCCACAGTAATCTTCATCTTTCTCAACGTCTGAAGTTACCCTCAGTGTACACAGAGAAATGAAAGTAACAGATTTACTTATTTTTGGACGGGCCTGCATGATGATACTATAAATTGTGCAAGGAAAAGTAAAAAGTAAAACAAGTATAGCTATCCCTGTAAGAGGCCGTGAAGGCCCATAGGGTTGTGAGACGTTGAGGGTTCCAACATTATGTAGACAATCGGCTCAAAGATGGCGGTAAGGTTATAAATTGTGCAAGAAAGGGCTGTAACCTGTTTCAGAAATGCCTGTTACCATGGGTAAACTAAAGCATGGGGAAGGAAAGAAGAGGAAATAATGGGACCATGCTAACATGACAGAAACAGTTAAAGTCGGTAGAGAAACCCACACGAGATTAGTGAAAGCTTAAAGAATATTCTTTGTGCCTCGAATTACTTTCCTAACATTGTTCATGAAAACAGACGTCGTGTCATATTGAAATTCTAAACATTCCTATTCGTAGAAAACCAATGTCATCCAAAAAAAGTGGTGGAGACACTGGACCGATACCTGCTGATAACGGAAAAGAGTGCAGTACTGCTTTGGGCATACAAGGATGGGCTTACGTCATTTGGAATACCATTTTGCAAAAATGAACTTTCTGAAACAAATTTCTCATACGAATCAAAGCCCTGGTAAAGACTAGATTTATCCCTTTAGACAACACCATGGCGAACGTTTTTCTCTCCGAAAACCACTAGAGCCACGTTTGCGAAAATCCGCATGTTCATCAAGGAAGATTCTTTTTCGGGTTGTTTAAAATTCTATAAGAGGAATTTGAGAGGAAGATGTATCAAGTCGCCGAGGTGTTTAATGTTGATGAGACAGGCTTGTGCATAGTTCAGTCCCAACAGCCAGACGTCGTTGGTTTGAGAGGGACACGTGAAGTGGCAGTGATAACATAAGCAGAGCGGGATTTCTTGATTAAGCTTGTTTGTTTATGAGTGACGGGGGAACCTATGTTTTCCCTTGCTCATTTTCCCAGAGTTTCAGCCCGGTTGATGAAAGGTGTTCCGTCGGGTTCTGTTGCTGGCTGACATGCATCAGTGTGACAAAGAAGGAAGCCTTCGCGAACATTTTGCGGGAAAGATGAAACTAACAAAAAAAAAGAAACGTTTATGTTCATATTCGTCTGATATAAGTCCCACGTTCTAAATCTAATGTTACTGAGCTGGCTTGAAGCGAGATTGTGACAATTGTATGTTTACGTTCCCACTCAACGCAGAAATTACAACTGTTGGAAAAGTTATTAGTTGGCCCTCTGGAAACAAAACTCTTCAGCAAAGCAAAGGAACATTTACCCCAGAATCAAGGATGCCATGTTAACTACTTAGGCGTGGCGGAAATTTTCGGAAGAACTTACT